CGGTTCGACTCGCGTGTTCGTTGCCGGGAAAGAACCGGATGGAAAATAAAAGACTCGAAAAATGGGTTGCGGACTTGTGATCGCGCGCAACCGCGCGAACGCGCAAACGCGTCCTCGTGCCGTTTAGCGGGCCGAACCTCGAATACGCGGAAAGTCCATCGCCGATCGCCACGGTCGATTCGAGCACCGATCGAGCGGCGCGCGATCCAAACTTTCTTCCCATCGCGTCGCTTTTCGCGCGCGCTGCCGGTAATTCGATGCGTGGCGCGCGCTCGCCAACGTTACGCGTTTCGGAAGCCAACTTTTCCGAATATACCTCCTCCGATCGATCGAATCTTTTCCCGTCGCGCGTAAATCTACCGACACCCGCCAGCTCGACCGACTCGCATGTAGCAATCTCGTATTCGATCGATCGGGTAAGAGCGTCGTGCACGCGCGTCTCTCGGGACGTGTCCTTGTTTCGTCGCGTATGCACGCGCGCGACCACGAGCAACGCGGATCGAAACTTTCTACGCGTTCCCGTGCTTCGCGAATCGAAAAGAAACGTCTCCTCGTCCGTCGGCTCCGTACGTCCCGGCGCTAGAAACCGACTCCGACGGAGCGGAACGATTGGTGAGCACCGAGACCGCGAGACTTGTTCGAATGGTAGCGCAAACGGAAAAGCGGGTGCTCGAGGTACGCGAATCGAAAGGGAATAACGCGTTCAAGCGGCGACTCAGAGTGGCTGAATGACGATGAAACGCGGCAAAAGCATAGGAAAAGCCAAGCAATCAATTACTGCGCGCTACGTGCCGATGCTTTCGAGCATCCTGCTTACTCGTACCGCGTCGAATCGATTACGTGCTCGACGAACGGCCGAGTTAATTTACTCACAGACTCTGCGACAAGAACCGCGACAGTGCCAACTTGCTGATTCGATTATTTTTCAGGCCATCCAACATTGCAGAGGCTGCGATTTCCATATTCGATCGTTCCGCGAACCGAACTACAGAGGAATCGAATATCCGCCGTGTTCGGCTTTCGCGAGTTCCAACTTGCGCGACGAATCCTCCTCTGCTCGATAAACGCGCTCGTCCGATCGATGCGCCTCCTGTCGATGCACCGATCGCTCCGTCACCGATATATCGCGTATCGACCGGTGCGGTTACCGCTGGCCGTCGCGTTCTCGCTCCGAGCCGGTATCCTCTCTTCTTCTCGAGCTTCTTTCACGCGTATACACGTGCTACGCACACCGATTCGATCCGAGCTCCTTGTTACCAACGTTCGTCGCCGTTTATTCCCTTCTTCGCGTTTAACGCTTTCCCCGACCAGTATCGCATGATTCGATCGTCGTTCGTCCTCTGCCGAACATCGCCTCCGTTCTCTCGTTCCTCCTCCTCCTGCTCCTTTCCGAATCGCTCACCGCTCAACAACCACTCGAACCGTCCTCAGACTCGATACTCTTGCGCGCATAAACAGGTAATTCACCTTCCTTTCCCTTCTTTCGTTTATCCTTCACCCCTACTTGCACTCGCCTCGCCTCGTCACGCCACTACCTACCCCAACCCTGTTAACTCCCTCTCTTTCGCTCTCTTTGCTCTTCGTCTCCTCTCTTATTGTTCTCCTTAATCTTGTTATCCTCCACTTTCTCCGGGTCGATTTTTTTTTTATCCTTTTCGACGACGATCGATTTTCTCTCTCGACGCGGTTTTCCTTTCCTCCTTTTCGATCGTTTCTCTTCTCGGCGCGGTTCGAATCCGAATACTTTAGCGGCGATCGCGATCGGAAGAATCGTCCGGTCGAACAGATGGACGTCTCGTCGGATTTATAGAAGGCAAAAAATGATCGTTGCTCGACGCGCGAACGTTCGCGGACACTGATAAACCTCGAATCGTCGGAAAAAAGTAACGGGATGCTCGTTTCGATCTTGTCGGGAGTAACGTAGCGCGACGCGTCCGTGCAACGTGGACAGTTTCGACGCCGACGCGTCAACCACGAGATATACGATTTAACGACGAACGAGTAACGATCGACGATAACGATTTATACCCCGTTCGTTCGGTTACGAGTTACGACGACGTTTCGGCCATAATTCACCGCTCTCCGTGTTTTCTTCTTCTTCTTCCCTCTGTCCTTTTGTCTCCGCTCTTCGTGCTTCTTCGCGGCTCGAAAAGAAATCCCTTTCCGTCTTCATCCGTTCCACTTTCGTTCTCTACGCTGTCTTCTACGCTGTTTCTTCTCCTCTGTCGCTTCCTCTCTTCTCGTCGTTTCGATTCGTTCGATCGACCGATCGCGACGGATCAAGGTACCGGTCGAAGATCGGACGACGTTTGGACGAATCGAACGAGAGGACGATCGGAAGGAAAGTAGAAAAGATTCTTCGTGTCTTCGATCGTCGAGGCGAAATCTCGCGGAGAAGACGCGCGAATGATCGGTGGCTATCCGAATAAGCCGAAGACACGGAATATCTTTTCCGGCAAACGACGCGAACGAAGCGTCGATCCGTCAACCGAAAGATAGGAACAATTACTTGGCGCGGTAATTCATAATCTCGGCGAAGAACACGCTCTGTCGTTGCTTTTCGTTGACCGAGTATCCATTCTTCTCGATCGTCGAGGACGACTCGTCCTGTTTCGCGAAACAACCACGACGATGTAGGCGACGAAGACGGCGAGGACAGGAGTCGAAGATATTCGTCTGGAGCCGAAACGAACGCAGAGCGTAGTAGCGCCGGTCGAACTACCGTCGTACGTTTCGTCCAACCGAACGGTCGAGCCGTTTGCTGAACGCGAACTACCTCTCCTCTTCCGTGGTATGACCTACTCGTACACTGCTCTCAGCTGCTTCCAACCCCCAGAATCCTACCGCTACCCCTGTGTCCGACCCCCACCTTTTCCCGTTCCCTCCTCTCTCTCTCTCTCTTGCTCTCTCCTCCTCTTTCTCCTTCGCTTTCTCTTTCTCTTGCTCCTTCTCTTTCCCTCGTTCGTCTCCTTCTTCTCCTACCTACGTCCTCGTTCCGTCCGATTCTACCTTCCCCTGTTCGACTCTGGTCTATTTCGTTTCGCGCGCCTCTCGCACCCCTAACCCCCTAACCTCTATGCGCCCTCTTTCTCGTCCGTCCCGTGTGCCTTTGCCACCCCCACGCTTCGCAGGACTAACCCCTACCTACCTTCGTTACCTACCTACAACCCCTATCGCTCCCGACTCTCGTCCTCGCTGCTCCACCATCCTGCCCCCATCCGTTACGCTCGCCTACCAACCACCGTTTACCGACCGATACAACATCAGCCACCGTACGCCCTTGCTTTGCCCCCACTCTCTCTCTCTCTCTCCATTTTTCTCCTATGCTCTCTCTATACTCTCTATTCTCCCGCGAACGTTACTATATCGCGGTCCTTTCTATTCTCCTCGCTCGTATCCTCTCTCCGCCTTCGTCCTTCGACTCGTCGCGTTCGTTTTTGTGTGTCCTCGTGTACATGTTCTTACGAACGCGACGTTTCTTCGACGGTCAGCGATCGACTTTCGTCTCGTCCAGACAATTGGACGCTTTGTTCGTGAGATCGTTCGACGACGCGGAACGTGGGCGCGTGCACGCGTTCGATCTCGTCTCCTCCCGTTCGCGTAGCCGTCCGCTGGTGGGAGCGATTCGATCGCGTAATTATGCCTCGCGTCCAAATGTCCAGCGACCCAAGATAGACCGAATTCGGTTTCGCCGTTGACCCAATTTCCCCGCGTTCTCGTAGTCGGCGCACGGATCATCGTCGACGTTCGAACGGCCTGTCGGCTCGACGAAAATGCTGCCGAAAATCTATGTTCGCTCGGAAGGACGGCGACGCGCGAGACGAATGTTTGTCGACGACGTGACACGCGTCGCATATCGGTGCTTTATGTACCTTGGCTTAAAATATCTGTCAGATACAGCCCGCGATGCATTAGCGATATTTGTTCGAGTTAGTTCGCGATTACGACGCAAGGTCATCGCTCAATTTCTCCACTGCTCCGCTCGCGTCGCCTCGTTATAGCATCTATAACGAGCGTAACGAGTATTTTAAGCGAGTAATCGCCCGACGAAGATCGGCCACGAACCGACCGTACTTTCCAGCGTTTCGCGACGATGCGAATTACGGTTGCGCTCCGAGCAAAACGGTTATAGCGCGCAACGTAACAAGTGGCATATCTGTTGCGTTTCGCCGATTTAAGTGCTACGAAACAGCAGGCTACTTGGCAGCCTTCCAATTGGCACCTCGTCGAGGGTATAACGGAATTTATAACGCGCCGCCTCTTCGGTTTCTCGTCGACGACAACTTTTTCCCGAGTTATTCGGTCGATTCGAGGCGAGCCTAACCACCACCCGACGACGATAACGAG